AAAATTTGGGTAAAGATATTTTTGTTTTGTTATTGCCAGAAATTTTTTGATTGCTTTCCCTAGTGCATTTAGAATTTAGATTATATTTTTCTAATAAATTAGTATAGTATTTATATTTGAGATTTTTCCATTGTCAATCAAAAATTTTAGCAAAATTTTATAAATAGTTTTACTTTCCACTGATTTTAATTTTGAATATTTAATATTTGTAATTTTTAATATGTAATTTTTGTTTGATTTTCGAAGATTTTCTTAGTTCCTTGATAATCCATGGTGATTCATTGATTTATGTTTTTTTTTTTGTTAAATTTTTATTTTGGGGAAATTTGATTCGTATATTCCAAAAAATTTTAAGAAAAGTAAGGAAACGATCGCAAACGCGATCAAAAAGTCACAAAAATAAAAACTTTAAGTTAATTCTATTTCCACACTATATACTGAAATCAATTATCTTTTTAAATATTAGACCAATTAAAAAATTTTTGGTCCTAAAAATGGACTAAGAAAATATCAATTTCTGTTGATTTCGTTATTTTCTCAAAATCAGTTTACTCGGACTTCGCGCCTTTGGCAATTGGGCTCCTTAAGTGTTATAGACTATGTTTTCATCATCTAGAATACCTGATTTTATTCTTTTTCCGCCTCATGATCCACGATATTTTGCAAGGATGTATTAACAATACAAATATTTTGCTAGTTTAAACAAATACAATGAGATAATGAAAGATCGCAAGGCAATTAAAAACTAATTATGTATGACTATAAATAAATCACCACAAGTATTTTAGAAGCATTGTGAGTTTTTGATGCGTGTTTTTTGGAGTGGAAAAAAAACTGCTTGGAAAGTCAAGTTTTTCAAATTACGTATATCACTAAAATCATCTGAAATTTTTTTTATATATTGTGTTGTATACTTTTTGTATTAAGGTAAAACTGGGAAATGTACTGCGATTTTTTTTTTTACTAATTTTCCGTCACACCATTGTATACACGTTTTAATAATAATAAATTTATTTTATATTTTTTATTTCAAGTTTATTATTAACTTTTGTTATTAAAATTATTACAGTAATTTATATTCAAGCTACGTTTCAAATCGCTAATTCTTTTTGTTAAGAAATATTTTTCACTAAATATCCTAAATTGATCACTGCGCCTGGGTTTAGTGTCTTTTTTTAATGTTCTGTTCTATAATTTGTTTAAAATTTGTTGTTGCTACGAGCAAAAGTAATGGCGACGGTGTGAGTGCGACCATGTGAGTGCGAATAACCTGGGTAATAGAAAATATTCTTATTTTTCGTTTTTTAAAAATTTTTTTCAAGGTTTTGATATCCATTTTGGAAATGCATATATATTTTTCTGTTTAAATTTTGAAATGTTTGTTTTAAAAAATGTATTTATTTTTTTACTTACTCAGTTAGTTACTGTTAAAATAATAATGTATCAAATGTCATTATGTATTAAATGTTTTTTCCAAACAAATGAATTCGATAAGTGTATTTATTTTTAATAAAGTATGGAAGAAAAAAATAATAAACTTGAAAACAAATTTTAAAAAGTAATATCTTTACGTTTAAGTTTATTATTTTTTTAAATTATGTTAATTTGTGTCAATATGGTATGATATATATAATGCTACATAATATATATAACTGACATAATGAACAAGCACTATTAAAAACTTATTTAAATTAATTATAAATTTTTTAAAATAATGGCAAAAATTCAAAGCAAAAAAGTTTGTAGAAATAAAGATAAAAAATATGCATTTAAAAAATTTGAGTCTGTCTAAAAAACAAACTCTTACTATAACCTTTTAGTAATATAATAAAATGCTTCCAGCTTTACTTGACAAAATTTCTTCTTTAGTTATATTTCATTTTTATATTGAATAAAAAATGACCTTTTTTTTAGCTGTTTTTCTATTTTACTTTATTTATTTTACCGTTTTATTGTTAAATTATTTCCAACTAATAGAAAATGGATATGAAACTTTTCTAAAAATAAAATTTAAGTTTATTAACAACAACAATATAATCATTGAAAATACAAACATAAATAATTATTGATGAATTTTTTAAACTTATATAGCTAAAAGTTATTCATTACTAAAATCTTTATTTTAACATAGCTGAAATGAAGATTTTAACCATGCAAGTAATAAATAACATTCTAAAAAAAATGAATAATCATAAAAAAAATGTATAACATTACATTGCGCAGATTTTAAGAATTAAGCAGTTTTTTTCAAAAGAGATCTTAACTTATACTTGTCTCAAAATACATAAAATGTTGCTTAAGTACTTAGTTAAAGTGCTTAAAAATAAACAATGATAAACAAGAATTCTCATAATGTGCTTATGGACAAGCAGGTCTACCATTATTAGCTATTCGGAAAGATCAGAGCAGTTTCTAGAGATTTTATAATACCAGCAGGTAGACAGGCAGATAAGATTTAGATAGGCACTTTTTAAATAAATTCAAATGGGTATTGTTTTTGGTTTTATTTGACTTTGCAATGTTTAATATGGTAATATCAACTTGGCTAAAACAATTTTTTTTACAGGTTTACGCTCTTTTTAACTGCTTTAAAAGTAAAAAATAAAAAAATAAAAAAAAATTTAGATTTAATACTTATAATAGTTGTAATTAATATTTTTTATTTATATGGATATTTAAATCGCATTCTTCTTTCTAATATTTAAATTTGGTAATTTTAAGAGTGATTCATTATTACAAGTATTTCAATTTATTTATTATCAGTTTTTTGTTTTTTGGTACATTACTACATTTTATTTATATATTTTATTTATATTATTTTATATTATATTTTATTTATAAATGCAGTTTTTTCTGATATTTTAAAAGGCCTTAAGAAAGTTTTTTTGATAAGATTACAAGCATTTACTTGCCTTTATCAACAAATCTTCTTAAATCTCAAATTAAAGTGTGTTAATATGCTTAAAAAGTTAAGTTAAAGTTACAGATCATTGAGTTTTTATAATCACAGTAGTAGTATAGCACTTACTTTGTAAGGGCATCTCGGTTCTTCTTGTAGAAAACCAACTCAAAAAAGCATATCATAAATCAAAAATATCTTCACATTTTGAAAAATATAGTGGATCTTTCGAAAAATTTATTTGTTTCTTCAGCATTTAGAATTTAAGAATAGAATTAGAAGTCAATTGAACATTAATGACTTCTATTGTAGACAAGTAGTTTTGCTGCCCCACCAATGGCATAACATTTTTTTTTTTCCATGCAATTTATATATATATAATTGAAAATATCGATTACATATATTTCTATTTGAATTTGTATTTGGAAATCTAAAATTAACATATTTGTATTTGATCAAATATATTAGATCCCCATTTTCTTAACTCTCCACTACAAGCTATATTCTCAAAAAAATCTTGGTTATTTTTCTCCAATTAAAGCTTTTTGGTATATTGTACAGATGCATATAACATAAGTTCTTTTTTGTAATAGATATATTATTTTGGCTTTAATTGAGCAAGTTTAGAAAGTCTAAATTTAGATTTCAATTCATTCCTTTCGCTTAAAGTTTTCTTGCTTTAGTTATGGTTGACTTAATGTATTAATTACTTCAGCTGCATTCCATAAAAGAAATAAATCAGTGACTATAGTAAAGACCTGCATTTTTTCCCTTCTGTTAGTGCTTTTTGCATGAAAAATATTGAACTATCTTAATCGCTAAGTTCTAATTTTAAGCATTTGGCATATCAATAGCATCCCTTAAGTAACATATCAATAGCATCACTTTAGTAACATATCAATAGCATCACTTTAGTAACATATCAATAGCATCGCTTTAGTAACATATCAGTAGCATCACTTTAGTAACATATCAATAGCATCGCTTTAATAACATATCAGTAGCATCACTTTAGTAACATATCAATAGCATCACTTTAGTAACATATCAATAGCATCACTTTAGTAACATATCAATAGCATCGCTTTAGTAATATATCAATAGCATCACTTTAGTAACATATCAATAGCATCACTTTAGTATCATTCAATAGCATCACTTTAGTAATATATCAATAGCACTTAAAAAACATAACAGTTTTTTTTTGAGATTGGCTTGCATTAATTTTTTTTAGAAGTTTTTCACATCCAATGAAACCTCATGCAGTTTGACTAAAATATCATCAGCTAATTTCAATTCTAAATTAACTGATGATGTTTTAATAATTATGAAACAAGATCTATTTTTTCACTTCTTTTTGTGTTGTTACCATACCAATCAAACATTTTTTGACCATTGAATATTGATTTCTTGCAAACCACCTGTAGTTATTAAGAGAAACACGGTCTGTACACTTTCATAAAAACTAAAATAGTCATTAGTATTTAAAATAACTAATGGTTTGTGATAAGTATTTAAAGGGAAGCAAATATATTGATTTGAATAGTTGTCTCTTTAGGGAAAAGATAAAATGACTTTTGTAGATTTTCTTTTTGCATAAATTTTCTTATGTTAATCAGTTAAGAGTTGATAATTATTTCTACTTTAAAAGGAATTTTTAATATGATTTTCCTACAATTTTAACAACGCTTTCTAAAACATTTCTCAAGTATCAGCCAAAATGCCAAAACAACAAACACCATATTTTATTAAAAGAAAAAATTATCAAAAAAATAATGCTACTTTGATATCCAGGTCTTCTTTCTTGGTCTGCTACATTTTTCCAGCTAAGCTATTGGTGAAATGCAAACCCTTTTTGATTTAATTCATATTTATGAAAAATAAACATATTTTGATTCGTCATATTAAAGCTATACTGGTTATATTTAAATGTTTGAATTTAAATATAAAAAAACTAATCAGTTTTTATGTTTTTACTTGAATAAGTAAGCCATTATTTAATTAGTTCAATTTTTATAGTTAAAGTAGACCAAATTTGTCGGTATATATATAGAGTGAGATTTAGGATCAATCTTTCAGCAGTAACATTTTTTATATATAGGTTTTATATACAGAGAGTGAGATTTAGGATGGATCTTTCAACAGTAACATTTTTTACAAATGCTACTACAGAAATTCAAGTTCTAGCAGTATCACAACAATGTTTTAAGGTTTGTTACTCAAAAAAAAATTGTTTATATTTTAATGAGTTGTAAATATGTTGTTTATAAATGTTTAATTTAAACTTTACTGAGTTTTAATGATTAAAGCAAGAATGAGATGCTTATGGTACACAATGTTACATGGAATGACACAATGGTACACAATGTTACATGGAATGACACAATGGTACACAATGTTACATGGAATGACACAAAATCATTAATTACTTTGGTTATTTAACAGCAAGTTTTAGCCTCAACTATAAAAGTTTTTGATATTTAATACAGAGCTATTTAATACATTTATTTTACATTTAAATAAGTAACAGAAAATCAACATTACTAAATAATCAACTCAATTGTGCTTATCATAAATATTCTGCACAACACCATTCTTTGTCTCATGCAGACATTTCAATTTCTTTTTAATTGTTTTATGATAGAATTTATTACTTTATAATGAAATACTTAAAAGAATAAAATGAACAAATGAATTTAATGAAACAAAACAGAAAAAAATCAATTAAAAACAAAGTACCAAATTGAAAAAAAGTTCCAAAAATGTTTGAAAAAATAATGAAAGAAACTAAATAAAACAGAAAAAAAAAGCTTTCTTTTGTACAACTTTCTTTTTCCACCGAAATTAACAAAAGATTATTTTTTTTTTTTTTTTTTTTTTTTTTGTTGATTAAATTTGCTTTTTCATTTGCATAAATGGAATTTTTTTTTATTTATGCTATCATTGCTAATTATTTTTATTGCTGTTTGCTGTTGTTATTAATTGAGTGTTTTCATATTTTTTTTGTCTATAACTTTATATTTTAATTTTTTTTTTTATTATTACTTTAATTTATGCTTGCTTTTATTTATTATTATTGCTGTTGATTTTTTTGTTTGTTGTTGTTGTTCATTTTATTTAGGAGTCACTCCAATGACTAGTTTTAACTATATGAGTGACACCTAACCCAATTTTGTAAATTTATAATAAAATTTGTAATTATTTTTGGTTGAATAAATGGATAAATAGATAAACTAGAAGCAAGTAAAATTAGTTTAGTAATAACAACAATAATAACAAAGTAATAAAAATAATAATAATAATAATAAAAATATTTATCCATGCTACAGGAATATAGATATACTCTCAAAGTTTTATTTTATTTAGAATTGTTAGAAGCATACCATTCAGCAAAAGTTGTGTAAAAAGTCATAAAATTACCCTTTAAAAAATATTTGGATTTATCAGGCTTGGTCGGGAAGCAGGAGCGATTGCTCTAGATTGCTGACCACGTAAATAATATTTAGTTGCGAAAAGCTGGCCAGATTTTTTAGCCGTTTTGAGAACATTTTAAAAAGCAAAAAAAAAAATGGGCTTAAAATTAATTGGACCGATGAGAGACAATTACAAAAAAAAAAAAATTAGGCAAATAAAATATCTTTAAACGCGAAAAAACTTAAAGCTAAATAAATTACGTTTAGAACAAATATTTTCGAAACATCTCTCTTTTATAATTTTTTTTATAAAATTAAGCGATGTTTTTTATATAAAGTAACAACTTACGATTGTTTAAAAAGGAAACAAATATTCTTTATTTAACAAAGTTTGCAAGTTTTAATTTTATTTAAGCTAAATTATTTTATAAATAATAAAGTTAATTTTTTCAATACCTATGTTATGATTCGCGTAGTTTGAAAAGTTTAACATATTTGAATCAATTCTTCTTAGTAAGATAAACAAATGAAATAATTAAATCATTGAATTACTATAGAAATTAAATTAACAAGATAGAAATCAACTGAAAAGGTTAAAAATACTTAATGACCAGGAAGCGAAACTGCTTCACAATATCGCTGATGATGTTTAGTGAGTGGGCTTTTTAATTTTAATTAGTATTTAAAGCAGCAAAAAGTATAACGAGGTTTTAAGAATGGCAATTTAAGCGAAAATAATTAGAGTTAGTAAACCTATATCTAGAAACTTTTCTTTAAATCTAATATTTGCTATATATATTTGTGTTCTGTCGTGACCTCAGGCGCGATGCTTGTTCATTCGCGATTTACTTTGTACGCGTTGTTTGTGTTTAGTAACCAGAAACTTCTTATATGTTTGTTACATAATTAGTTTTATTAACTTTAACAATTATAACTTCATTGAAAACGCAATTATTTTTGTAAGTCTTTGTTTAAATCATGAAAATTGCTTTAAAAGATACATTACGATTAAAAACAAATACACAAAATTACATTTACATAAAGAATACAATCTCTTTTAAAATAAAAAATAAGAATATACTAATAAAATCTATGATTTATAATAAACTTTTAAAATTTTGACAACTTAATTAATATATATTTAAAACATTTATTTTTGTAAACAAATAATAAATATTTTTAAAACAATTTATGCTAGAAATCTCAAAACGTAACAAATCGTGAATAATACAAATTCTAAAACATTCTGTTTAAATCATGAAAATTGCTTTAAAAGATACATTACGATAAAAAACAAACAGAATACTCTAGAACTTTATTTCGCTTAATCAGTGTATTTTTTGAACCAATAGAATTAGTTTGTTCGTTAATTTGGCGGGTTTTTAGTGTTCGCAAATATTCTTTTTATTCTTGTGCTCAAAGATGTTTTGAGAACATTCAAGTTTTTTATGTTTTCATGTATGTCTGTAAAACAAAATTTTTTTGTTTCGTACATAAACTTAAATGTTCTCAAAACGACTAAAAAACCTGGCCAGTTTTACGCAACTAAATATAATTTCCATGGTCAGTATTCGAGAGCGATCGCTCCCGCTTCCCGACCAAGCCTGATATATGTATGTATGTATGCATGCATGTATGCATGTATTTATGTATGATGTATGTATATATATGTGTGTATATATATATATGTGTGTGTATATATATACTAGCTGATTGGACCCATAAAAATACAGGTCTTTGTAAATCTTTTCCACAACAACCTTTTCTATACATTTTCCTCATATATATATCCTAACTTTCCCAATACGTAAAATATGGGTCTTTACCAAACCTACCATTTCTTAACATGCTTATCTATTCCACACTGATCATTTCTATATGTGTTCCTTATTTACTTTAATATTTTTTATTAAAATAATTCATTGTAAAAAATTGCTTTAAGAGCAAAAAAATTACCATGTGCACCTTTCCCGCATACATATAGCTTGTATGAGATTTATAATTAGGCTTGTTTTTCTTTTTTTTTTGCCTTTACAGCAGCACCTCCTGGAGTAGCAGGACTGTCTTATTAAGTTTTTTTTAAATTAAGTTTCAGACCATAATTTTTTTTCAGACCATCCACAGCGTGTTACCTTAACACATTAATAACATAAGTATCTCATTTATGACACATACTCAACAAATTTCTCCCGGTGTTTTTATATTTTTAGAACTTTTAGCCTTTTTTTAAAATCCTATAGTTTGTTATATCTTTATAATATCTTTACATGTTATGTATATAGTTTCTATAAAACTTCAAATGTGTTTTACTTTGTATTTTAAAAAAATCAAAAAAAAAAAAAAATCACTTGCTAGTGGTATGATTCAAACCACTGCCTTTTCGTTCAAAAAAAAGTGCTGCATCTCTTTCTCGATATTACCTTAGTTGCAATGTCTGCCAAGAGTTCCGTGTCAAATACACTCAAATGAGCATTACTATTAATTTGTTCAATACATAATATTTGTAAATTCAAAAAACACATAAATGGTTCTGATAATATTTTAGAAACTACCTATAAAACAATAGTAATTAGCGTTAAAGACATTATTTTTAGGTTTCTGTTATAGGCCTTCAAAACTTGTGTCACGGAAGGATCTATAGAAAGGCTGTAAAATCAACTTTCTACTTAGGGTTTAAATAGAAATACAGCAACAACAAAAAAATTCCTCAAAACAGGTATCAGATCTTTAAGTTAAATTTGCATAAGTGTTCTTGGCAAATATTTAAAAAAAAAAATTTATTTCCTATTAATTAAAGTCATTTAATGTCATGGAAGGACATGTCATGGAAAGACAAAAGTACACGTTAATAAAGTTATCATATAATTCTTTTTTAAACAAACAAAAACAAAACTTTCATAGATTTCGTAGATTTTTTTCATCATTGTCAATAGCTTTCTTTTTCCTCTTCTGCTTCTCCATTCTTTTTTTTCCCATACCAGTGATTTAAAAACATCTGATGGTTTTTAAAGATGCTGTTTAAGTATAAGTCAATTGAATTTGGATTTAATCTTATAACATGGTGAACCTTTAATGTTCTATGAGTGTAAATGATATCATTTAAACTTGGGGACTCAATATTTTTTGTATCTATGTAGATCACTGTAATGGCACACAGCCGATCAGCTACTTCAAAAAACTGTTTTGCATTATCATTTACAACTTTAGCTGACAAAATCCATCACTCCAGAAATGGAATTTAGAAACTATACCCTTGATCATGCTAATAAGCTGTTTGTTGTTTGTAAATGCAACATTGCAATCATTTTTCGTTTCATTTGATATGGTTACTACTGGAAACTTCACCAAATTAAAATTTTTATCATGTTTACCATTCTGAACTGTAATATTTTTATGAAAGTAACAAGCTGCTGTAACAAGCTGTTGTAGATATGGTAAAATGTTCATGCCCAAAATAAGCACTCTGGATCTCACAGAATTGTTTATTTTTGTAGTTCTTGAAACAATCAAGTTGATTGTTTATTTTACAGTATTGTTTATTTTTTTAGTTCTTGAAACAATCAAGTTGATTGAATCAACACTGATTATTACTTAATCTTCTTTGAAATTTTGCCTTTAGCCATTCTAACTCTGAAAACTGACAGTAAATTTTATACTTATGCATTGCCATTTTGTAACCATCAACCATTTCTGATAAAAGCATTGCAGCTTCTTCACCAGTAGCTTTTTCTTGAACTTTGCAAACAACCTTTTTTGAGGTTATCCAGCAGTAATATGAAAAAACATCAAATTTTTTCAATTCTTGACACAAATCATATAATGGTTCTTCCCAGACATTTTAAACAATTGTCTTTCATGCATATGATGGATTTGACAGAGCATACACTAAGTTCCTTCAAGATCCAGCATGTAGCAAAAGTTGACCATTTTCACAAGTTTCACACCGACTATCCTCTTCTGGTGTTTCACTTAGCATAATCAGGTTATTTTCAGCATTGATAACTTCTCGTAACTGCTGATAAGTGATTTTAAAGTCATTCTCTTTGTTCAATAAGTAAACAAGTTCTCTGTATGTAAATAGCATGTAATGCTTTGAACAATAGACTTTGACACCAACAGATTTCCCGCAGTAAGCAGTATCTTTCCTGCTTGGGGAACAATAGCTTATATCTGGTTGTTCTAAAAATTGAACTATTTTTTTTTTATTTACCTGTATTATTGATGACCTTCCAATTTTGAAAGACAGCTTTCTTCTAGAATTGAAAAAAGTATAGTTTAAGAAAATCATCACTTATACGGCCAATAAAAAAAAGCTTTTTACTCAAAATTTGTCATGGAAGGATTCTTTTTTTTTTTGTATAAAATGTAATGCATTTTTTAACATTGTCATCAATGCTGAAAAAATGTAAATCTTTTTTAGAATTACACCATACTTAGGTATTTCTAAAAAACTAATGAAGTATTTCAAAAAATTTAGATGCATTCTAGATCTTCCAAGTTTAATTTATTCTGTTTGTCCTTCTGTGACAATGAATATGATTATAGGTTGACATTAAAGGGTTGGTGTGGAGCAACTAACAGTTCTATACTTATCTTTAAGGTTAAAAATGCAAATTTAACTATTCTGCTAATGAAAAATGTATGTTGGAATAGTTATAACATTTTTTTTTTTCATGTTTAGTCACAACTTTTCAATCCTGCCCTATATTGAGCAAATTACTATTAATTTGCTCAATATATAACATATATATATATATATATATATATATATATATATATATATATATATATATATATATATATATATATATATATATATATATATTAAATCACATCTTTTTATTACATTTAGTAAAATTACATAAAGCACTGTAGTGTATTCAATAATTACAATAAATCTTCGTAAATAAAAATAAAATAGTTTCATAGTTTAAAATATGGTTTTATTAATAAACATTCTTTTGCAAGTAAAAAAACTGTCTGGTTGTCCTGCTGGGGTATGGATATGCAATTTTTTTTTTAATTTCAGTCGTTCTTTGAAAAAAAAAGTCGTTCCGTGCTACCAAATGACCATAGGGTACACCCTTGATATATATATGCATATAATATATGTTATATATATATAATATATATGTATGTATGTATTTCATGCAGGCTTGTGGAACCAAAAGTTTTTTTTACTGCTCGGCTCTGGCTGCGAAGTAATGTCCGGCTCGGCTCTTGCTCCCATACTTTATGAACAAAAATCGCAAATTTTGGAATATTTTTTTGATCACATTTTCCAACCCAAATCCAAACCAATTTGTACAGCAATTCATTTTTAACCAACTTTCATGATTACAAGGTTACATGATAGGTTACATGAGTATACTACTCTACTATAGTACATTTAAAAAGAAAAATGTCATGGGTAAATATTCTTAGTTTTAGTTCTACCCAGTAGGCACAATACCTAAATAAGAGATCTTTTGAATGTTCAAAAGACATCCAAAATGTTCTAAAGACATTAAAAGCGCTCCAAAAATGTTTAAAAGACTCAATATAAAAAATCAAATATCAATATAAAAATTAAATGTCAATATAAAAATCAAGTATTAATATAAAAATGTAATATAAAGGAATATATGTAATACTGTAAGAATGTTTCCATATATACTTGACTTGTTTTTTTTCTTCGTAATAAAGCGTATTAAGAAATGCTATTAAATGATAGTATTGTGTTGAGTATTAAATTGTTATAATATTCATTTTAATCACCTTTTGGCAAGACTGTAACTGTTAGAAAAAATATTGAAAAAAACAGAAATTTAATAATTTATTCAAAAAATTAGTTAAACAATGAATGAATAAAATTTGTCTACAGTAAAAAAAACATATACATTCTATTCCTTTAAAAAAGCATGAGAGCCGAGAACCGCTTGATTTTTGCAGCTCAAGCTCCACCAAAAAACAGCGGCTCCACGGTTCCGGCTCTGACTTGGCTTTACAAGCCTAAATACATGTATTTATTTTGATCATTAAGTTTTTGAACAACATAAATGTTTAGTTTGACTTGTCCAACATACATACATACATACATACATACATACATACATACATACATACATACATACATACATACATACATACATACATACATACATACGTACATACGTACAATGCATGCACATATGCCTAATAGGAACAAATTAAGTGAATAGTTTAAAATAAAAAAAATAAATAGAATAGAATATTAAATAAAGTTAATGAATTTTTTTTCTTTTTTTTAGTGCAGCTATAATCTTCTTGGAAATATTTCAATAGCCAAGAACTTTACACATTTTTTTGATACCAGATGGCCAACAAATTTTAAATTTTTAAACAATAACCAATCTAAAATGTGAGACATTTAAAATATTTAAGATAATGATTTTTTAACAAGAACTTTTAAAGTTTTCATGTTTAGTAAAAAAAAATTATGTTTAGTGTAGCAGAGCACTTTGTTGAACATGGTAAATATATTTATTCTGTTTATGAGACGTCATCAGACACCTTGTTAATTGATAATAAAATTACAAATAGTCCAGCATTATCATTTCTGCGTAAGTATTTTTTTATTTTATTACTTAATTCATTATAATAATATGTTTTAAAATGGATTATTTTGTGTGTGTTTTTTTTAGCTCTTATATATCTACTTGTAGTACTGGTGGCAGCATCAATTATCTGGCCATTGGGAAAATTTATTTACAGGTTTTTTTTTTTTAAATGCTTATGAATATATTTTAAAAGAATAAGTGATACCTATGGTGGTTATCCCACTTTTTTATGTTTATATTGTATTATTTAAGGTAAAAAAACCCATTGGTTTCTTAACCTGAACACTTTTGATGAAGTTTTCTGTATCTTAACAGTTTAGTTAAAAATAATAATTTTTAATCAATTTTTCTGCAATTAAAAACTTCATTAAACTTATGCTTCTACTGAAGCAGAGAACTTTGAAGAAATTAAAAAATATATAAAAACAAACATTAAATTATATAAAAAAATTAACAATTTAATAAACATTAAGAATATAAAAAAAACATCTAAACATCAAAATAAAAATTAAAGTGATCATAACAGATTGTTGGTTGTCTTAAAAAAAAATATATTGGCAGATATTTCTTACTATCTGATATTTTATTTGTTTTAAGCGGACTTTAAAAATCAGATTTAAAAAAAGACTTTAAAAATCCGAAAAATTTTAGTTTTTATAAAACAAATTGGCGTCTAAATAGGTGATGCTAATAGGTAAGAAAAATCTGTTTTGGCTTTCAAATAATTAAGATGTTTTGCTTGTTGAAATTTTTTTCTTTTTAATTCTAATTCACTTCCAACAAGGCTGCAAACAACCACTATTTAATTGGGAGTTAATAGAAAACAAGCTGCAAGCAACCACTATTAAATTAGGAGTTAATAGAAAACAAAGAATAGAGTTAAAGAGCAAGACCAGATGACTTCAAAGGAGATTGGAGAGAGATTGGAGAGAGTTCCAAAGCGTTAAAGTGCAGAGAAAAAAAACTAGATAAATAAAAGTTTTTAGAGCATGCAAGGACAGATACAGTAAAAATATGTAACTTTGCTGAATGGCGAGTCAAGCGAGAATGAATTTTGTTTGATGGAACTTGAGATGGTTGGTTACCCTCTCAAACTGGTTTCAAAAACATTTGAAGCCACATTTAGACAACTTTTTTACAGCTTAGGGCTTGTTAATAGTAATGAGGCAATTGCTTGAACTATTAAGTAGTGTACTAAGTATTATCAATGTTTTGAGTCAAATTCTTAAAAAAATTTAAAATGACTAAAGTACTAAAACCTATAAAACATAAAACCACAACATCACCAAGTTCTCTAAATCTATTTCACCAATATTTGTGGTCTTCAAATTAACTTATCTTCTGTTGAGTCTCTTGCGAATTTCACCAGACCTACTTGGTCTTTCTGAGACTAATTTGAGTTCAGCTGTCTCTTTCTGTGATCTTAGTGTTGATGGTTATCTGTTGCTAAAGTTTTTTTCTTTAATTCATTATGACATCAAAACATGCTTGACCTGGGCATTTACATTCGTAAGAATTTACCCATTTGTCAAGAAACTAGGTTTGAATCCACAGACTATTCTTTTCTGTGCTTTTGTTTAGTACCACTTCACTCTATCGCTTTTCTCTTTGTTCTATATTGCTCTCCTTCATCTCAAGACTGCGCTCTTTTCAGTGTTATTTCTGATCAAATTAACCAAACCCTCTCTATTTATCCTTAAGCCAACATCATTATTGTTGGTGACTTTAAAGTTCATCACACTGAATGACTTGGCTCTATTGTCAGTGACTCTGCGGCATTAAGGCTCGCAACTTTTGCCTTTCTCAATCTCTAACGCAAATAGTCAACTTTCCAACTTGCTTTCCAGACAATCCGAATCATTTACCTTCTCTACTCTACTTACGTTTTGTTTCTGATCTTAGTCAGTACTCAGTTTCTCCACACTCACCCTTAGGTGCTTCTAATCACGATTTGATCTTTCTAAAACTATTATCTCATTCTTCATCATCAGAATCCCCCTTCATCATCATACCTCTTACAACTACTATAAAGCTGACTGGAACTCTTTCCGTGATTTTCTTCGTGATGGCCCTTGGGTAGAAATCTTTTGTCTTCCTGCTGACAAATGTGTTTCTTAAATAACTTGGATTCAAGTTGGTGTGAAATTTTTTATTCCATCCTGATGATTCCAACTCAAGCCTCACTCTTCTCCAAGGTTTTCCTCTTATTGTGCTGCTGCAATTTCGAAACCATTACTTCCATATCTATCAGCAAAACAATTCTCCAGAAAACAGACGTCTGTTTACTTTGGCTAGGAACCATTGTAAAAAGGTTTTGTCTAACGCCAAAGCCCGCTATTCTCAGGTCATGAAATCTCATATTTCATCTCAAAATTAGGCTCTTGTGACTTCTGGAGAATCTTAAACGGTATCAATAATAAGGGTAAATCTGCTATTCCACCTCTCTTGTATGGTTCAGATTTTGTCACCTCACCTAAAGACAAAGTTGAATTGTTTGCTAAGAACTTTTCATCTATATCATCTCTTGATTCCACTAGTTGCATTCTATCTGATATAGACGTCAAACAGGTTGATCCATTGCTTGACATTCGTATCACTCCAGCTTCTGTATCTAAAGTTAATTCCTGCCTAAACTCTTCAACAGCTTGTGGTCCAGACAACATACCTGTTATAGTCTTGCAGAAGTGTTCTCAGGAGCTGTCATCTATACTTTCAAAACTATTTAACAAGTGCTAATCAGAGTCTTGTTTTCCAGCATGCTGGAAAGTAGTATCTGTTATCCCTATTTTTAAAAATTCTGGAAAGCAATCTGACTTGTTTAACTACTGTTCCATTAGCCTTCTTCCTATCATAAGCAAGGTTTTTGAACCTTTAATTAGCAAAAACTTAATCTCTCATCAATGCAATAATTTGCTTTCTGATCATCAATATGGATTTGGATCTTCTCGTTTACAGCTGATTTGCTAATAATAATAACCGATAGGTTTTAATGTGCATTAGATAGAGGTGGAAAGGTTAACGCTATTGCTCTTCAAATTTCTTTAGCTTTTAATAAAGTTTGACATGCTGGTCTTCTCCAAAAGTTTTCTTCTTACGATGGATCCAGTAACATCTTGCTTCCAATTGAGTCCTTGCTTTCCAATCGTAGTATCAAAGTTGTCCTCAATGGACAGCACTCTTCTTCTATATATCATGTAACTTCAGGGGTTCCTCAAGGTTCTATCCTTTGCCCTATACTCTTTTTAATTTACATTAATGATGTTCCAGATATTCTCATATTTAAGGTGGCATTGTTCACTAATGATACTACCATTTATTCCTATCTTGATAAGAACCCAACACTCTCTGATTGCTTGGAGGGGGCATTTGAGCTTGAAAAGAATCTCACTTCTGCTACAGCATGGGGCTCACAATGGCTGGTAAACTTTAATTCAGATAAAACCCAATTTTTTCAGCCAATCGTTATCGCAATAATTTAGATCTTCCTATATTTATGAATGGTAATGTACTAGATGAGTCATCTACCCTTCATCTTCACGATTAACTTTTACTTCGAATCTTTCTTGGAAACCGTAAATCAAATCCATTGCAAAATTAGCATCTGGTAAGGTTTCATCTGTTTACCGTGCTTGATACTTTCTTGCTCAGAATTCTATTCTTAATCTCTATAAATCTCAAAATTTGTCCTTGTATGGAATTCTGTTGACATATCTGTGGCATATCTTCTAATGATTCCATTTCTCTTTTAGACAAGGTGCAAAAACGCATTGTAAACATAGTTGGACCTGCTCTTGCAGCCAATATCCAACCATGATCACATCGTCGTAATGTTGCTTCTCTTTCTCTTTTCTACAAATACTTTAATGGGTGCTGCTCTAATGAGCTAAATTCATTCTTGTATTACTCGCAATTCAATTAAGTCTCTTCCTTTCTGTGACTGTCCTAAGTGTTCCAAAAACTCTTATTCATCTAGTTTTTCTCCTCGAACATCAGTTCTTTGAAATTTGCTTCCTTTATCTTGCTTTCCTGATTTATATAATTTGCAATTTTTAAAGTCGTCTGTCAATCGTTATCTTGCTTTACAAACTTCATCTTTTTTTATCTTCCAGTAACTTCCAACTAATAGTGGTTGCTTGTAGCCTTGTTGGAAGTGATGTTAAAAAAAAACAGTTTAGATGGTGCCGATGTCCGACACCAATTTTGACCCCTGGGTTACTAAGATCTAAATACTTCACATGTTGCTAAGATCTAAGCACTTTACATTTTACTTGGATCTAAACAGAAAGAATAACATTATATTTGTTATTAACATTATTATTAATAATATTATTTGTTATAACTATTTTGTCTGTTTAATTATTTTTATTTTTTAAAAGTTAAGAGTTGTTTTTAAGAAAAGAGCTCTTAGCTGTACTAAATAATGCCTAAAAAATATTGAGTCCTCACAAATTTTAATAAAAAAAACTTTTATAAGTTTCAATTCTTCACAATTAAGCTAATACTTGACTAAAAATGTCATTGTAGGAATTTTAAAAATGCTGAACGAAATATTTACAGTTTAGAAGAGCAATCTCAAACACTTTTTGATAGAAATTTTTTTTAAATATATTTTTAAAAATATATTAAAAATTTATTTATGTTTATTTTAGAACTTTTAGACATGGTAATTTTGTCAGTGATTCTGATTATTTTTTGGTATGTAATTTTTATTCTCTTTTATTTTTTGTTATAATTTTTTTTATTCGTTCTCTAAAATTAGCATAGAATTCTTAATTTCTAATTTAATTAAATTTAAATTTTTTTAATGGATTAAACACCTATAAAAATCCTGGCTTTCAAAATCCTGACATTACCTGGAAAATCTTTGACTGTAGACCTCACTAGTATTATCACAGTATATATTTTATAACTGTAATAACCAATATTTTTAAAATTCTCTTTTATTAAAAGTGGAATTCAAGTGCTTGAGGGCGCTTGTATTCCAAGCACCCTCAAGCACTTGAATTCCACTTTCCAAATTCCAAGGCCCTCAGCCTTAAAAGCTTAGTATTCTCTAGAGGTCAAAAAAAATTTGGCTTTAACTTTTTGTTACTTATGTGTTTGAACTTTAAACCATGTGTGTGGGCTGCACAGTTATTGAAGTCTTGTGGGTTCGTTGGAATGACACATTACGGATTTTTCAAGTAATTTGTTAGGATACTTATCAATTCAAATGCATTATAAAAATCAGTTTTCCTCATGGAATTTTATTTTGGGTTGTTGAATGATATGCAAATTATACACACTTAGCTTTCTCAGATTATTTCCTTCAAAATCAGAACAGTTTAATAAATGCTATGTCATATTTTTTAAGAAACAATCCTAACATTAACTTAATCACTTTGAAATACTCGCTTCCAAGTCACTCATGTGTCTAGAAAGTTGATCAAGTGCGTCATGTTATTGAAAAGCTCATGAGAAAAACTGATTTTTATATTCCAATTTTAAAAAAGAAACTAATATATGCTGAGTTAAAATTATATTTTGAAGGTAAAAAATTAAAACCAGAACATTTTTTCTTCAGCATGTACATCTCTAATTTTTACATAGTATCATAGTATTAATGTTTTTAGTAACTTTTAACTTCTCACAAACGTCTCATTTTTCTTGTTTCATTTATGCTTTTAGGAAATGTGAAAACCAAGGTTGATTTCAATGAAAAACATGGATGTAAACTTGGATTTATTCACTGGCTTAATATTTTTGTTCATATTTTCTCTTTGTAAAGATCATACATTTTTGATACATTAAGGTGTGACTCAAAGTATTCTCTATATGTGCTGACACAACAATAATGCAACTCAACTGTTGGATGTGTTTTTAGGCGTTCTATAGCTGAATCAGCATCATTGTGCTGTCTACATTTGCTTTTCTTGGTCTTATCTCATAGATCATATGCAAGAGTATTTGTTTTAACATCTTTTTTGTTGCGAGCTGTGAAAACTTTTTTGAAATTGACAGTGTAATAAGGTAGAATGTTTTGCAAACATGAAACATTTTTTCTCCCTTAACATAAAAAAAAATCTATGAGAGTGTTGCCTTTTTGAAAAATTTGTTTTCTCTATGTGGTCATCAGTTTTTTCATTTGCAGTATTACTATCTTCATTGTTTTCCTCATAGTTTTTTTTTGGCCTAGCAGTGCAATCAGCGGAAGTGATTGCACTGCTAGACAGAAACGATTTGATAATCTCAAAAACTTTCCCAGATACACCATATGAAACAAGCTTTTTGAGAAGACCAGCATGCCAAACTGTGTCAAAAGCTTTAGGTATGTCAAGAGTAGTAGCACTAGCCTCTCAGGCTCCATCTAATGCACGATAACATCTTTCAGTCACAGTAGTTAGTCAGCCGTAGAGCGAGAGAATTGAAAACTATATTGATTGTCTGACAGTAAGTTATTTGACTCAAGATGAGATGTGAGAAATTTGTTGATCAAAAACATTTTCCAGCAGGCAGGAAAGCAAGACTCAGTCAAGCATTTATTAAACACTTTAGAGCAAATTGAATAGAGTTCTGAAGACACTTTTATAAGACTATAACTGGAATGTTGTCTGGACTACACTTTTTGAGAGAAATTTTTTTTTAATTTATTTTTAAAAAATAGAAAGTTTAATTAAGATATGACTTTAGCAATAGAAACTTGAAACTGAATTAAATAGAAACTGGATTAATTTAAATGTTTAACATTGGGTTAACTTGTTTAACTAGCATCGCAGGAAGAGTATGGCTATAAGATCCAAGAGTCAAGTTAGAAGAAAAGTTTTTTGCAAGTAGAAGAAATTAGAAGAAAAGTTTTTTGCAAATAGTCCTCTTCCAAGGATAAGACAGAAACCTTATCCTTAGAGAGGTAATAAGATCAGTAAGCAATTCTAAAATTCTAAGATGAGAAATGGACCTACCCTTGTAAACAACGCTGTTGAAGATTTTTAAAAGTCTCTAGAGCCTAGCTTCTGAGATACAAGGTTTAGTGAACTTAAAATAATGGAGCTTAATATCAGACAGCACCTTTTTACATCAATTTCTTGCAATAATAAAAGTTGTTTGTTCTTTAGAGAGTTGTTCTTATGAAAAAGAAATGATTATGATTAGATATAGCAGCTGCACAAGAAAGTGAAAACTATGGAGTAAAATGAGGAAAAAGAAGTCATTGCATGGTCAGAACCAACTAAGGGAGAAAAAGGAAAAACTAGACAAAAGCTAGGATCTGAGTAAGAGATTGAGAAATGCAAAATTTATAGGCTTTAGTGCTAGCAGGGTCAGTGGCGTTAGTGCCAAGTGCAATGAGCATAAAAATCACCAATAACAACTATTGGCAGAGGGGTAAAGAGAGAGAGCAAGGTCAATTTGATCAGAAATTACATCTAAAAGAGTGGAATCTTGAAAAGAACGAGAACAATAAAGAACAAAGAGAAAGGTGCTAAGCAGAAGCACATAAAAGATGGTCTAAAGATTCAAACCTGATTTTACAACAAATAGGCGAATTGATTCGTATCTATACCTCCAAGCCTATTACTATTGGAATCTTTGTGAATTAAAGAATAGTACCCATCAGCACTGAGATCTGAAGACGGAATAGCGAAATTTAAATTAGTCTCACTAAGAGCAAACAAGTCTGATGAATTTTGCAAGAGGGAAGATTTAACTGATGGAAGGTTGCTTCGCAGACCACAAATATTTGTAAAAGATATATTAACCACCAGCCGGCCTCAGAACCATTAAACTTAGTTTTAAAGCTGTAACCTTATTAGGAGATACCAGGAAGAATTGATACAAGGCAGAAGTATCTGATATAAGGCCACTATCAAGGAGGCAGATGTAGAAATCTATTAGTTGAATCAAGAAGATTCAGCATTCATTATCCTAGGCAGGAAACAATGTTACACAGGTTTACATCTACGCCTGCCTTATAGATGAAAAAGAGACTGATTAGCAAGGTTTGAGGGTGGTTAGCATAATTATTTTGCTTATGGAGGAGGCCTCCTACTAGACAATAGCTGGATGCAGTTAACATCTGCCCAAGATGAGTATTTTTATCGAGACACTAGCCTTTACTTAACTAAGAGCCCCAAGGTAGGGGATTTCTAATTCTGAGTTTGTTTCTTCTAGCCTTTGCCTAAAAAAACACACCTTACAAGGCAGCAGGGCATGGGGTAAGTAGTACTCAGTTATATGATATCATTAACCGGGTGATCATGATGATCCTGAACCTGACCTGACCTGGAATAATTAAAAGGAGCTACTTTCTGCAAACAGTACCTTAAAACATTAGGCATGATATTTTGGAAATGCATTAGGAAAAGTATTACTTCTAACCAATACATATGGATAAAAATGTACGGATAGCAACTTACGGGTGAGTCAACACCGCACTGGTGGTTTAGACAGATCACAAACGTATATATAAAGTAGATTACAGGTGAGGTAAAGCAGTAACTAAGACACCTATAACTATATAAAAAATACACACAAAAAAATAAAAAATATATATATATTATATTATATATATATATATATATTTATATATATATATATATATATATATATATATATATATATATATATATTTATATATATATATATATATATATATATATATATATATATATATATATATATATATATATATATATATATATATATATATATATATATATATATATATATATATATATATATATATATATATATATATATATGGTTTATTAATGAATGTTTTAGCTTTCCTGCCAAATTTATATATTTTGTTTTTTGGACAATCAGAGTATTGCTTTCAAATAGTTAAATTAGTATATAATAAATGGCCTCAATTTTTAAAAAAACATCAAATGTTTAAAAGGATCCCCAACTGCTGAGACAAGTTGTGTTCATATTAAAGAAAATGTTTAAAAAAAACATTTGGGCTAAATTTTCTTGATTGAAACTAAATAATGAATGCATACCAACAAAATTAAAATTAGCGTTTTAGTCGAAGCTGGCCTTCTCCATTTTTTTTTTTTGTTCTCGGGGTCTGTATAATGTTGGTCGCAATCTGCAGACTTGATAATTTGTTCAATGCGTGTTAATTCATAATAGTTTCGGTATATGACGTCATCGCAATATCTTTTTAAGATAGCGTTTTTTTGTTGTTGTATTTTTAAAGATATAAGTATTTTTTCTACTACAATCAGAAAATCAAATATTTTTATAATTTTTTACTAAATCACAAAAAATATTTGTAATTGTGTAAAGTGTTATATATATATATATATATATATATATATATATATATATATATATATATATATATATATATATATATATATATATATATATATAATTTTTTTTTTTTACTTGTTTTATTATTGTTTTATGTTTATTATTTATGTTGTAGAAGCCAGCCAAAATCATGACACAATTAAACATATTTTGTGATTATTAGAGTTTCGCAGGCAGAGAAAAAATAAAGGCAGTGTGATGCTGTTTTTTGTTTTATATTTAGTTTATATGGTCAATAGAGTTGTTCGTTTTAATTTACATTTAGTTATGATTTAACTCTTTTACTACCGCAAGCCACTGTATTTAACTCTAATTAAATTTAATGTGTTTAACTCTTTCACTACCGCAAGCCACTGTACATTTGAATGTAGCGGCTTTTGAGTATGCTTTACAATTTATCT